GCTGCCGGGAGCTCGTCCTGCTCTCGCGGCGCCGCGCGCTCCGCACTCCGGGTCCAGACGCACGCGGGGCGCTGTCCTTTCAGCACCACGAGCCCGGCCGCGGAGGGCGCTCGGCCGACCTCCCCTTGGAGTTGCCTGGAATCTGCTCTGACCCCCGAGAGCGCAGCGCAGTAAGTAGGCATTTGCTTTCGCCATAACCACTCCCCAGTATCCCCCAACCCTCCACCATCCCTTTCACCCCCACAACAACCCGATTTTGTCTAATGATGTGCCATCAGCGGGACTGGCAAGAGACGTTCAGTTGCGCTGGGCTTCTGGGGGTGGGGTGGGAGCGCCATTCGCCTTCCAAGGGAGCTGGAGACGAGTAAATGCGATTTGTTTATTTAGTTGGCAATCTTGCAGTACAGGGCTTGCTAACTTTCCATGGAAGCAAAAAAAAAAAAAAAAAAGGCCCTTCGCTATTGAGGAAATGGAGGCATTCCTCGCCGAATGACAGGGTCCGTTCAAGTCGGTCCCTGCTTGTTTGGTTTTTGTCTTAGGAAATTGTATCTCCTGTGCAAGCTGCGTATTATGTAAAAGGGCACGCTACCCACAGAGACAGTGAAGGTATTTGTTGTGCTTTGGGGAGGGTGCTGAAGAGAACCCAATAGAATGAAACAGCACCCAGGGTGGTGGGTGAGATTTACCATACTGCAGGGCGACCAGAATAACAGGATTCAGCTGTGCTGAGAATAAGCTTCTCCCCGAGACCCTGTCCCCACACGAGCTCTCGTGCCTTGCATATTCTGTTAAGCTTGTATATTTTTGTGTGCCTGAGTCTGGGATGCTCCCAAATTTGAGGGCTGTTGAGCCCTGTGGGCAGATGGCGTATTTTGATGGTTGAAGAAGTTGTACTGGATAATGGGAACCGTGTCAGGAAATCTAGCAGAAGACCGATGCCCCATCTCACATGGGAAGCCGCCCGAGCGAGCTGTGAGGAAGGTGTTTTTCCTCCCCACCTGGCTGCCCCCAGTAACTAGACCCCCACTGCTTGCCCAGGTCAGGAAGAAAGGCGCAAGGATGGTGAAGCTGAACGGTACCCCCAGCGAGAAGGGCACCAAGCCGCCTTCGGTGGAGGATGGCTTCCAGACCGTCCCTCTCATCACGCCCCTGGAGGTGAATCACTTGCAGCTGCCAGCTCCAGAAAAGGTAACGCAGGTCTCCCTCCTGTCAGCCCACCCTCCCCCTTCTCAGAAATAAAGCAGCAAAACATCCCACCCCCAGAGCCTTTCATTCCCGCACCAGCCAAATGCGTTCCCTTTCTTGTCAAATGTAGTCATTCCTTCCAGAGACATGACGTCACTCGTGTGATTTCAGATCTGTGGTAAGTGTTTCTTCGTGTTTTTGGTTCACACTTCCTTTTTCAAGGTTTACCAAAGCAGATGAATCCTAATAAGCTTCTAAATGGCTTCAGAGAAAATGGTCTTGAGTATTTTGGGGAGGTGTTTCAGAAATTGACTGGTGTAGGCTTGAGGACAGAGACTTGGATGCAGGCCAACAGCATTTAGTTAGCACCTGCTAAGGGCCTGTCCCAGTGCTGGAAGTTGGTTATAAAAAGAAAGATTACAGCATCCCTACCCAGTATAACACAATGCGAGCCTCGTGGTGAAGGCTCTTCCTGAGCACTGCAGACTGTGAGCACAGGGTGGAAACAACGCAATTCCGGTGTGTGTGTGGGTGGGGAGACTGGGAGGACAGGTGAGGTGGGCTGCAGAGGACACTTGAATTTGGCTTTTGGAGGTGAGTACAAACCTTCCAGGTAGACCATGGGAGGAAAAGGCATTTAAGACTAAGGGAACGCAGGTGCAGAGCGTGGGGAGCTTGGGGACATAGCGTGGCAAGTGTAGAGTGTCTTTAGGAGGCGTGGCTGGAAATGAGTGCCTGGTGGAGGCACATCTCCTGGCAAGGGTATAGTCCATGAGGAAGGGAGGTGGCATTTATGCACAGGTGCGTGGGGGAGGGGCTGGCCCGTGGACACAGGTGGGAGAAGCGCCACCACTGAGGAGCCACCCCCGAGCACCTGGGGTTTATCCTGTGCGCTTTTGCACACTGGATGAGGGAGGTTTGGAGGCAGACCGTGGTGTCCCCTGGCTGAAGAGCAGACAATGGCTCATTCCGTCTGTTTGATTTCCTCATTGGCGTCCCGGGAGGGCATTGTGTGTCTTAACCAATTGGCTGTATCCAGTGAACAGAAGGGGAGCCGAGCTAGATAAAGCGCCTGGCTGATTGGCTGTGGGTGGAGTCACCTGTTTTGAAAGTGCAGAGGTTGTCAATATGGGAATGGGCAGGGGGTGGCAGGAATGGAGAAGCCTCGAGTCCTCCTGAGAAACAGACAAGGTCTTTGAAAATGAAATTCGCACCGGCAGTGGACGCTGCGGTGGTGCGGAGGGACAGTGCTAAGTGGGTGTCCGGTGCAGGGGCGGCAGCGGTCTCCAGGCTTTGCCTGCACATTAGGATCACCTGGGGAGCTTTTGCAAATCCCAGAATCTAGGCCACACCCCAGAACAACTGAGTGAGAATCTCTGGAGGTTAGGCCAGGGCGTCAGTTAATTAAATCTCTCCAGGTGACTCCTGTGTGCAGCCAAAGTTGCGAACCACTGAGCTGGGAGTTGGGGTTATGTGCTCATACAGGTGAAAAGGTGAAGGGTCAGAGAAGTTTGATTAGTTATCAAGCTCAGAGAAGGGGTACGTGGTGATGCTGGAATTGGAGCCCAGATATAGTGAAAGTTGGGAGAAGGGGAGATATTCTCTGGATGCTTTATGAGGCTTCAGGAAAAATCTTTACCCTGCAGCCAACAGCTGCAGCCTCAGAGGTCTGCATGTCCCTGAGAGGTGTGCAAGGAAAAGGGATTGTGGTGCTATCACCTCTCCGCCAACTCCTACGCACACCTGCAAGCCATCCAGAGATACTGTGGCCTCTGTCCCTGTAATTCCTCCACCTCACCCCACCCCCCTGCCTCCAAGGGCTTTCTTTTCTTGAGAGAGGACACAGGCCCACTCACCACTGAACACCTAGTCCAGACGGACCAAACACCTGTCCCGAAGCCTGACGGATAAATACACTGCGGACCTGCACGGAAAGGGAAACCAGTGCGTCCCAAAAGAGACAATCCCTAAAGGGACACATCCCTACGGGGGCACATCACAGGCTCCTCCTGATGTTCATGACGAAGTCTTTCTCCCAGGTGGACCTCAGTGTCCTCCTCTGTGAAGTGGGGACGATCATACCTGCCTCACAGTGGTCAGGACACAATGAGAAGTAGCCTCATATATAAAGTGCCCAGCACAAAACAGTAAGAGAATAGGAATGACCATTTGCAAGTGCTTCCTAAATGCTGGGTGCTGCTCTAAGCCACACACACACACACACATACACACACACAAACTTTCACCTTTTTAATAGTTAATAGGACCCAAGAAGGAAGTTGCTACTTTAATCCAGTTTTTAAAGATGGTGGAACTTGGGCACTGAGCGGTAAAGTAACTTCCTAAGGCACATAGCTGGGAAACACCTGGCAATGTCTGGGGAACCCAGAACCCAGGGAGCATCATTCCAGAAGCTTCCACCTTGGCAGGACCAAGGAGCCAGCTGGCCTGGGCGTCCACAGACTTGGGCTCGAGCTCGAGCTCAGCCGCTGACCCACAGTGCAACTTGTGGCAGTTGCTTCCCCTCATTCAGGCCTCTGTCTTCTCTTCCCTGAGTGGGAAACTGAATTAGCAGTTTTCTGTGCTGGTATTTAGGTTTTATAATCTTTACGGGAGCAAACATGCTTTCCCCTGACATTAAGACACGTGTCAAAAGTGGATTCCACTCCAGAAGCCAAATGGGCCCCCCAATTGCTTCATGGTCGTCAGATTCTGCACCCCTTTACCAGCTGCCTTGGCTGAGGACGTGAGCAGGCTTCTTAAATTGCCCAGCCTCCTTGTGGGTAAAGTGGGATGACAATATTGGGTGGTAGTGGGCACTGGGCAGGAGCAGCGGGGTTGGGGAGGCAGGTGGACTTGTGTAGACTTGGTCCTGGGTTGGCACTGAGATTTGCCCACCGAGCAGGAGGGCCCTGGCTCTCCTGATCTCTGTAGCGTCAGTCCTGGCACGCAGTGGGCAGTGGGTAACGATGGCTGAGTGAGGCCCCTGCCCCTTGCCTAGCCTAAAGCTGGCATAACTACTCCTCCACTGGGCAGGTGAGGGATAGACAGGAATCTAAGCAGTTGATGGCTTTCTGCAGGCCGCAGGAGCAAGTTCCTGAGAGATGGATCATCAAATTTCAGGACATGCCTTTGGTTTATGTACGTGACCACAATAACCAAGATGTGCCCACAAACCCTCTTTGAGGTTACTACCGTTATCCCCACTTTACAGATGCAGAAACAGACTGAGAGAAAAGAGTGCAGCCATGATCTGCACACAGGTGTGCTGGGAGCGAGCCCCAGACAGGCGGGGCCCC